CCCCCCCCCAATTCCAGCCTTAATTTCACCAGTAGGTGAAAAAGGGTCTCCAAATGGCTTTGGGGTTTAAAACTTTCAGTAGTTAACAAGAGGAGGACCAATATATTCAAGATTCAAGCCTATAAATAAGTGAAGTTAACATTGTTTAGCAGATAGCATGTATTAGTAATATGGTACAATCAGCTTTCTGTCAACAATACTTTCCCACTCTAGACTTCAGAAATGTAATTATGCTACATGGAAGACATCACAAGCACAACTATGTCCAGAGCTAGGCTGTGAGGAAGCAAAATCTTCATCTATGGGTATGCCTTTATAAATGTGAGTGGTGCAGAAATTCTCCAGCCTGGATATCCTAGAAGATAGTTAGGGCACAGAATAGGTCAGATCTAGAGTACATCCATATAAATCCAGAACTGCATTCATGATCCATATCCTAATCTGGATAACATTTAAGGGGATCAATATAGACCACATTGATCTGATCCATGGATCAAATATGGATTTGATTGGAATAAACATACCTTATCGTTTGCCTTTTCCTTGTGCTATTATTATCTATAAAAAAAATATCTAATACATGGATATGCATCAGTTCCAAACCTAACTAATTGCAACCCATCTTTTCTATGGTAAACAAAATTTCTGGAAAAATATGGGGAAAAAATGGAACCAATAAGTCCATCTTTTACATATCTCGTATTAATAAACTCAAACAGCAACAAACCAGGAAGAAAGGGCAGCCTATATTGATCTAGAAACAGTTTATTCAAAATAGAGAAAACAAAAATAGGCCACTAAGGAACCTTTTTCATGGAAAGGCTTGTCGGTAATGGTTCACTACTCCAGAGGCCTCCTGATTCCAGCTTAAGACCTTCAAATTCAACCTACCACAAGGGTTTGTGAATTTTATTCTTCATTTCACTGGTTATGGAGTCAAAACATCCGTCTAATTTTGTCTTGATCTCAAATCAATCCATGCGATCTAACATAATGGAATTGACCCTTTTTGAATGCAACTGTTTGACATCAGTTTTAAAAGTCTTGAGCATGCTTGCTGCTGCTGATCCACTGGAAGCTAGGAAAGGAAAACATGGTTGCTTGAATCCTAGATAATTATACAAGAAGCAACCTTGTTCCAGCATTAAAAGGTCTTCTTAAGCACCACTTTTTACTATATTTGGCAGGAAATGAAGAACTAAATGGTTCAGAGCAAGTACAAACCAAATGAACCGATTGTCTCCCTAGAAATTAAAGATATCTGTCTCAAAGTTCTTTGACTCCAAAAAGAAACTAGCCACGCATAAGAAAATTAATCAATGGCTGGGGTCTCGGATCCAACATCTACCATAAAAGGGCCACCTGATGCAAATGAACTCAGCTTCTTGAAGATGAATAGATGTTCGAGACAGACAGGTCTCCTTCCATATCCCAATGGACTACAAAGATTTTTTTTTTTTTTTTTTTTTTTAGGAACCACCTTGAAAACAGTTTCTTGCCTTCCTTTGCAGGGGCATCTAGATCAGTCAATTTGCGTTCAACCGCATCCTATAGACATTGTCGCATCTATTGTCTTGGATAAAGACACAAAAAGTATCACTACTGTAACAAGTTCCAATCTCTTGCCAAAATGTAAAGAATCAATTGGTTCTTTCGCATACATAGAGAGTTCTATGATCTCTAGGATCTATCTTAGAACCAGTTCGGTGTTAGAATTGCCCGTGTCTTCACGAACACAATATAGTCCACTTATTTTCTTTGAAAGGTCTAGCTGAGGCTTATCTCCTCCAAAGTTCCTCACCCAACCACGAAAATGATAGAAAGAAAGAAAAAGAGAGGAAAGGATAAAGTAAAAGCGAAACAGAGCAGATACTTACAAGTTACAACCTGCACTAGTTCTAGCAATTGCAAAATCAGATGGAGATTGTTGATTGAAAGGGGACATCGGTCTATCAGACTATCACTCTATCCGTTTCTCTCAGGTAGCAAGCACATAAACAAATCAAATCTATACAAAACCAGAAAGGAAGAAAGAAAGAAGGAAAGAAAACACATAGAATGTAAACCGGAAAACAACTGAAAATTCAAAACGCGCAATGGTGGTCGATGCAAAAGTTCAATATAACCACTGAAATCAAATCTGTAAGAATCCCTTTCATCACATAATACAAATCCAGACACCAAGAACAATAAGAAATGTACCCACAAAAGCAAACCCAATACGAGTCTCCTCGCCCAGGAGCATGGCCGATACCGCAGTGGCCGCGAAGGTTGTTGCATTGGTCACGGGAACGGCTAGCGAAATCGGGCTCTCACTCAAAATGACGAAGAAAGCAGCGGAGGCCGATAGATTTACGAAGAAGGGGATCGAGTACTGCCAGATAAACAGAAGATTTAGCCAATTTTTCAAATGCCCAAGTAGCTGTTGATGGAGTTGAAGATGCTGCGCAGGATTTGTTGCAGGAGATTGGAGCTTCTTGTCCCAAATAAGCGCACCCCGGCGCATTATAGCGTTTGTAACGCCCCAAACGACGCCAATGGCGATCATCTTCCCCACATCGCTCATGTTCGTCTCTACGCGCAGTCTGGTTCTGGAACTCTGAACTGGAAGTGGAACCCCAATCATTTTATCGGCACGTGTTTAACAAAACCCGCACGTTATTTCCCGCCAAGCTTGACCCCGCCATCGAGCAACACAATTACTAAACTATCCTACTTGAAAAAGATTTTTCCTGCTCTCTTCTTTGAACTATCGAGTAATTTAGGGAATGAAGATACCCTTTCCAAACTTCTTATTTCTTAAGTAGCCGACTAGCCAAAAGAAGATTCACATTGGTGAATTTACATAAGTACCCCTGGCTAGTGACTTCAATCTCTGAAATCGTTCTAGGCCTTCTCTGTTTACTTCTCTCTCGTTTCTGGCGTGTGTGGTTTTGGTTTCACGAGAAGGAAGAGGTGATCGTCTCCTATTTATTATTTGCTCTCTGGCTTCGATCGATCCGTCCGAGCTCCTTTACTCGTAACAAGTATTTAAAACCCTAGCTTTTGATGCTCAGAGAAACTTGATCGTGTTGACTGATCTAGATAGATATCAAAGGATGGAGAGGATCGTCGGAGGGAAGTACAAGTTAGGCCGCAAGATCGGTAGTGGATCTTTCGGAGAAATCTACCTTGGTAAGTCTAGATTTTTTTAAGGTTTTCTTTTCCTACCTCCCTGCCCCGATTCGTGTGTTTCAGTTCGAGTTCATGTTCCTCTTATGCTGATTTTGTGAATTTCGATATCTTACAGCGACCCATGTAGATACGTATGACATCGTCGCGGTGAAAATTGTAAGTTTCTATCTGTGTCTTAGAACCATTTTGGTTTTTGTATGGCGTTGGAAATTAGTGGGTTATAAGCTTATTGGGGCTTCAGATACCTCTTTTTTTTTAGTAGTACTCGTCCTGATCTTACTGATCAATTGGCGGGGAAATGAATAGAGCTGTAATCAAGCTTATGCGGCCTGTTTCTTGCTGTCCTAATGGCCTTTCGTCAACTTTATCTTCAGTGTGCAGTTGTGGGGTGTGTTTTATCTATAAAACTAGAACATTTATCAAAAAGAAAAAAACATCTATAAAAGTAGAAGCTTTCCAATTAGGGGTTTTGAATGGTTGTCTTTGACTTTGTTCTACATAGGTAGCTCCAATTTGCCTATATCTGCAAGTGCTAAAGTTGTTTTAGAAAACTCCCCCTCTCTCTAAAGGATGTTTTCCACTGGATTTTTTATAAGGTCTTGCACTTTTCGCTTCTGTGTATTGTTAAGTTTGCCATACTTAATTGTTATAGGTATACAACTCTAGTCATTCTTTCTATCATCAAGCCTTTAAATCATTCAGAATTACTTCTTTCTACATTTTAGTTGACAAATTCAGGGGAGTTGGTTGTTTTCATTACATATTAATTAGAACTAACATTGTAGTGTGGACTTAGAAGTAGGAGATTATGTTTCAGCTTGTCACTCTGTCATTCAACTTGACAAATATAGATATTGGTTCGTTCCATGGAGTTGATTATTTTAGTTTGTTCACAGGAAAACAACAAGACAAAACATCCTCAATTGCTTTATGAAGCCAAGTTATATAATATTCTTCAAGGAGGAAGTATGTATTTTGAATAGCATCTTTCCCGTTTAGCTATATGTATCTTTTTGACTTCCAGTCATTTTTCCAGTAATTATTCTGTAATTTTATTCCTTCAGGTGGTATTGCTGGCATAAAATGGTGTGGAGCGGATGGGGAGGATAACGCCCTTGTTCTTGACTTGTTGGGACCAAGTCTTGAAGATTTATTTGTCTACTGTGGAAGGAAGTTCTCATTGAAGACAGTTTTAATGTTGGCAGATCAGATGGTAAATAGAATTTCCCACCATAATGAGCTGTTTTGATTTTGTGAAGGCACCTGCATGAGTTTTTCTCATTTCTTGGGCCTTCTGTGTCATTTGGGATCACAATCAGGAGTACTAAATCTGGTTATTTTTGTTTTTTACTTTGTATTTAAAACATAATTTCCGAACTTTCTGTTTAGACTTGTAGGGCAACTGATTACGTGTTCCTCAATCACAAATTAAAGAAAATGCCATGATGAAATATCTACTGATAGTGGCTACAACTTATTCTTACTACATTGTAATTGGATTTTCTCTATTGTTCCACATGTCTTGGGTCTACCTAAAGATGCGTAAAAAATAACTGCCCTCTTGTTGTTTCAATTACCAGATTACAAGAATAGAGTATGTGCACTCTAAAGGATTTTTGCATAGGGACATCAAACCAGATAACTTCCTTATGGGTCTTGGTCGAAAAGCAAATCAGGTAAAAGGTCCTTTGGCACTTTTTCTGGCCTATTTTTATTATTGTTAGTGCAATTCCTTGGACATGTATTATTTTTCCACCAATTATTTAGTTGCACTATATTTTTCAGGTCTACATCATTGATTTTGGCCTTGCAAAGAGATATCGGGATGCTGCAACTAATCGCCATATTCCTTACAGGTATTGTTTCAGTTTCCTGCTGTAAACTATGTGGCCCTTGGTCCTTCTTAGCTTATCTAGCCTAAATTGTTCTTCTGGTATTGATGCTTGTGGTTGTCTACTGGTTGACTGTAATGCTTTTTTATTGGTTGGTTAACTGTAATTTTGGTGTTTTAAATGAGTTGTCAGTGACAAGAAATTCTTGTTCATTATATATGATGCTTAAACAAAAAAGAGGTTACCTAGTCCTAAGTCGTTGGTTCTATGAAGGCTGATAATGTTTGCATAAGTGTATGCCTGTAAGGTCATGACTGTTCCCATTCTTGATAATAGCCATATTGGTTGGAAGTTCATTTGCAGACATTCCATTCTTATTTTCTTCATGCATAATGACCAATATAATTTTTTACTTATTAATCATTATTACTTTGTTTGTGGGGAATGGGGGGATACAAGGCCATGCTCGTTTTTCTTGCTTGGATTCAAACATCCAAGAAGTTGTTGACTAAACAATTACCATTTATTTAAATTCATGCAGGGAGAACAAAAACTTAACAGGGACTGCACGTTATGCAAGTTGTAATACTCATTTGGGTATAGGTAAGTAATATCAGTTTGTTAGTTTGTTTCTTCTAATGTTTTAGTGCTTCAATTTTTCTGATTTGCTTTTTTTGTCTTTAGAGCAAAGCCGGCGTGATGATTTGGAGTCTCTTGGTTATGTTCTTCTGTATTTTTTGAGAGGAAGGTCTGTTCTTGTCTCTCTATTGCAGCTATTTCCTTTTACTAACTTATAATGTCTTTTAGAATTATCTGGCTCCCCATATGCTGCTAGTTTGCATTTTGTCTTTTCACCAACTTATAGGTTAGAACGTTGGGGTGTTATAAGCAAAATATTCAGGCTTTCTATCAAACCATTATATTGGCTACATAGCCTACATCTCTTTACTGACCTGAACATACATATCTGTAGCCTTCCATGGCAGGGATTAAAAGCTGCCACGAAGAAGCAAAAATATGACAAGATATGCGAGAAGAAGTTATCAACTCCAATTGAAGTATGTATTCATGTCTATTGTAAAGTACTTCCTAGATGTATGATTAGCATCAAATTTTAGCTCACCAGACCTTATCCTCTCCGTGAAGGTTCTGTGCAAGTCTCATCCAGTGGAGTTTGCCTCATATTTCCATTATTGCCACTCTTTGACATTTGATCAACGGCCTGATTATGGATTTTTGAAACGTCTATTTCGGGATTTGTTCACTCGTGAAGGTATGTGGCAGATAAAGTTACTTTTGGTCCATGTTTCCTAGTTCGTGCACATACATTCATTTTTGAAACTGAATTTTGTCACTTAGATGTTTTGAAGTCCTATTCTTCGTACACATACTTATTTTTCTTCATACCTTGGATATGATGCCCTGAGTGGGAAGGTTTTGTCTTAAACATTATCCGATGCCAGTATATTAACCAGGGAACCACAGTGTTATGGTAATGGTAGGTTATTTCTTCTATGTTCTGATGGTGGCTTATTTGGAACTTTACCTGGGTGGTCTATTACCATAGCCAGGAGCTTAAAGGCTGTATTTTCAGTCATCAGTTTTAATTTTATTATTTCAACCACAGGTTGTCAAATGATTGAAGGGACCATGCTGACCGCATCGCTAACCAGTTAGGTTGGTACTCATAATGCGGTCATCCAGGACAACTAAGCATCAAATAGATCAGTTAGGTTAACTAATGACTAATCGACAATCAACATAATCAACCTAGTAACCATATGGTTATTATAAAGTTTTAATTCGCCGCCTTTACCTATATAATTGTTTAAAAAATAACTCCATCATCATCTAAGCCTTGTCCTAATTATATGGGCTTGGCTACATGAATCATGTTTCACCATTCCGTTGTTTCAGTGCCATCAAGCATTTGTGTCATTAACCATTTAAAATAATAATTTATGTCTTTGTTATATGCACACTAGTGTTACTAAGCATTTGTGACTGCACATGATGGGGTGATAGTATAAAAAGAACAACAATGAAGGAGTTCTTCTAATCAGTGGTTACTGCAATGCTACTATTGAATTTTCATGAACAAGGGGACCGCATCAAATTGTCAAAGTATCAATCTTTGTAAGACAAAGATTGTCACTCCCTATCTGAAGTCTCAAATCTCAGTCTAGCTGGGCTTCCTTTTTTACGTTTGCAAATACAAGACTGAAGTAAATGTTATGTATCATTCTTTTATTGTGTATTTGCAGCCAGTTTGTATTGACTTGTGCAAGATATTGCATCTATATCTTATATATTTTTGGTTTTGTGGTTAACTAGTTGCCACATTCCATGGGGAGGCCAAAATGACTAGTCATTGCACCACCTCATTCATAATACTGTTTATAAATAGTTGTTTGATGATATATCAATTTGTGTAATTACGGTAATTAAATAATGCACTATGTGTGATGCATCTGATTTCATCCTATACCAGTTTCCATATCATTTAACCTCAACAATGGTATCAAAATTCCATCTTTAAGCCTTCAACTACTTTCTTGTCTTCTGTTTGGCAGGGTTTGAGTTTGATTATATATTTGACTGGACCATTCTAAAGTACCAGCAAGCACAGAGGACAAAATCTCACACACAATTATCTGTAAGTATTAGCAGAACTGGATCTGATATGGGCTTCTTTGTCAATCAACCACTTGGTGTGGTTTTGGTATTCAATATATTCTTTACATGCTATAGTTTTGTTAGAAGTCTATTTTATCTTGGATGTGGTCTTAAGACTCTTAACTGCCTGTTCTGTTTGTTTCTTTTCCCCATCCAAAAAGGAAAAAAAATGTACTTTCTCTTATAGCCACTATTATTGGAAGAAGCTTGTTCTAATGAAAGGTGATATCCTTACTTACAGCCAGTTTCAGGAGGGACTAGCAATCAAGTAATACCAATGGATGTTGACAAGCATCAAGGTAAATATAATTCTGTCATTAGGGCTACCTAGTGTGGTTCTGAATTAACTATTTCAGAAGTAATGATATCATGTGTACAACCATAGCTTCTGGAGGGGGCCTTCTATGTGGTACAATTGTTAGTTTCAGTATGGGATAAAGCCGCTTTAGTTTCATTAACAAGGTTTATAGGAAAAGATTGTTAGTATGCTAATTGATCTGTATAATCTTCCCATTTATTTCTTGAATATGTATTGCCTACAAGTGCATGTGTTTGTGCAAAGGTGTCTACTACCTTTGTGGGTTGTTTGCAGCAAAAACCTGTTGGAATCCTGATCTTGGACTAAGTACTGTTTTATTTTAAGTTTTCTGACTATTTCAATGCTTTCAATGCCAGGAGTAAATAATGCTTCTTATTCAGCTGAGTTTACAGAGCGAGTGGTGTCAAGTAATGCTCCTCGTCCTGGGGTTCATATGCAGTTTAAGTCTCCAACTGACAAGAACTTAACTGCTGAAAATCCTGTTGATAAGAATGTAAGTCATCTTGTCATGGATAGTTGACACTTGCTTTTCCGTGTGTTTGAAAATGCTGAAAGCATTTTTTGGAATTCAAAGGAAGCTTTGAGTTTCCTTTGTGGTTGTCAGTTAGCTACGAAAAATCTTAGCACTATGGTCCCATTCCCATAGATACAGCCATGGGATTGTAAAACACAAAACAACAACACCGCATGGATCGAGTGGGGTTATTATCGCAAGCCCCCCATCACTTCTTGATTGATATTTTGGAGTTTGTTGTATCGTGTTTAGGAGTCCACTACCACTGTAGGATCATATCACTAGCATTTTGCATTGTAAATAGTGATGTTTCTTCTGCTATTTTGCGACATATTAATTCCAGAATTTGGTTTCAGGTGCATCTCATTTTGTTGAATTTAATTTATGCAGAATGTGAGCAAGTTTCTGGCTGGCGTCTCCAGAAAACGTGTTTCAAAACCAATGATTCCAACTGAAGGCGCACATGTCAATCAAGGGCTTGGTAGCAGAATTGGTACTTCAAGTTGGGTTCCTTCATTACAGCGCAACTCTTCTGCCAAGTGACTGGTAGGAGTTTTATCCCAGTCATAAACTCACTTTGCTTCCATCTTTCTTATTACGCTTTCAAACATTCACCTCCAATGAATGGGTTTAATACCCATATCATCAGAGTTTAAACAACTTGTGTATCTGGTGACACTTAACATAAAAATAAATTGATATTTATTTTGTTTTGCAAATTTGTACTTTATCCCACACAAAACAACTTGACATGTTTGGCATGCTTTCGTACCGACATCTTTAGGTATATGGTACTTCACATATGTTATCTCATCATAACTCCCATGCCTATCCTTGCTAACTTGTAAATATAATTTCATTCTTATTTTTAGATAAAATACTGGATTCCCTATTTCCCATTTCCAGAGTCTGCCACTTCACACTAATGTCATTTGACAATGTTACTTGTCTGGCTGTCTCTTGCATCATAGTCAAATGTTATGTGGAGGACTTCTTATATGTTTTGTAGATTACTATTACCCTATTCTTGGATATTCAATTGGTGGCTAACATGTATTCATTTAATTTCTTCAGCAATGAATCCAGAGGCCAAGATTTATGGAGCATAAGGTTTTAAAGGGCACATGGGAAGATCTTATAAGTGCTGCACAAATGTTTTTGCTCAAGTCCCTTTATGGATACCAACTCATACTGTATTTTCTTAAAGGTGACTACAGATACATTGGATGATGCTAAATATCAGTCTACTCAAAGCTTGGTTGCTGTTGCGTACATAGATGGCACAAATATCTTACACCAATATTCCATTTTATGGTTCCTTGTAACATGGATGATGCATAAAGTGTTCCCTTCATTCTTCTGTTAATAGATCATACAATTTCAGTTGTGATATATGGTTGTTGTTTTGACAGTGTGTATTTCATTTGATTCAGGGTTCTGAGTTGCTTGTGTATACTTATTGCTTTATTATTTTGGATCAAAGCCTTGGGTGTTCACCTGGATCAGTTTTAACCTTAGGTACATTCAAGTCCTTCAGTATCTGAATAAAACAAAGTACTCTAGTGTTTCAGGTGCACATTTTTCATGATTACTCTCATGGAGCTTTCTTCAGGTACTTTTCCTGAGTTTTAATATTTCTCCCATGTTTACAATATACCCCTATAGGTCACATCTCGTAATTTTCTTGTTTTCTTTTCCAGAATTGATATCGTGATCAATTAAATACAGAATGATTCTATACCAAGGAGCTAGCCTGAGTGGGAATTGTTTGACAAAAGCTCCTGTTTCAGATGGAGGGAAGTATTGACCCCAAAATAGACCTCCAAGAGTAAACTTTGGAGGCTGAAAAAATACATCCAAGGTAGTCTATGGGCAATACTGACAACTCTACCCTTTGAAACCAAAAATGCATGATACCAATTCAAGTAAATAGTGGCAGTGGTTCATAAATTTCTCAAGCCATTATATTAGTTTCTTCCTTTATATATAGAATTTTTTAATCTGATGGGTACATAAAAATTATGGTGTAGGTCTATTCTTATTTCCCTACTAATCTTTCTAGTTTTTCTTGCTCCTGTTGTAGTAGGCCCTAGTTCTTTTTCAAGTTTTGATTTTTCCAAGCCATTCTTCTTCATCTTTAAATATTTAATGGGACAACCTTGATAATTTAGATATCCAGATTTTATTTCTTGCCTCCAAAATTAATATGTTGCCTTATTATATCAGACCAGTTAAAGTTTTAAGGGCATTTTTGTTATTTGAAAATTTAGTTGTATGCAAGTGTCACCCAGTTTCCTTTCCCTTCCGTGGGTATCCATCAACAGGCAAGCAACCAAGTCCACCCCCAGGTTTGTTATTGTGATTGCTGTTCGAGAACAGTTTCTTCTTTTCTGTCGTCTACCCCTTATTCCATATTTATCTGTAGTAGCAATAAGAAGATTTTGCAAAAAAGAAAACAAAAAAACTCAATATTTATTGGATTTACAGGATTTATGGGATTTTGCAAGTAACATGTTTATGATGATGAATTGACAGTTTCCATTTTCTCTTGAACATTATTCTTGCAATGAAATTGACTATTATATCTATTTCGCCTTGCTATAGATTCTATATTGGGCTTTTAGTTGTAGATTCATTGATTTGATTCAATAATAACTATGAGAAATTGATTATTCATTTTGATTAGCAAAATAAGAGAGATAGATGCTTGAACCGTCATTAACATGAAGGGTTTGCAGCAATTTCAATTTTAAAATGTTACAGTTTTAGATGGCAATTCATTTATGTAATCTTTTATTTGCAGGGCGACAGAAGCGAAGATAAGTAAGCCCCAAAAGATGACATTTGATGGATAAAACTTTTGACCTTTGGCTTTGGCCGTCTTCGCCACCTGCTGAGAAAGAGGCAGCCTAATTATTTTCCAGTGGATGGATTCTATCGTAATAAATAAATCCATAGAGATGGCAAAAAAACTTTTGTGGAGCGCAACGGGGATGGATGGACAGGGGTTGCAATTAACTTCAACTTAATTTTTACGGGTTACCTAAGAGAATCAAGAAGAGTTGCCATTGTTTTACTCTGGAGACTGACTGAAGTCAACCAAATTTTAGAAGGGGAGTGGAAGAACTAAGAAGCCGTGGAGGGGAAATGTTGAAATAGTCCCCGACCATCTCTGGTGGTTGGACCTGGCAAGCAAGCAGCACTGCTCTGCTGGGCTGGGCTGGGCGGTGCATGGTGGTACACTAGCACTGTCATCATCATCCCTAAGCCGTTGGTGTTGGGTCTACTGTGGCCCCACCTCAACGGAGCAGAATCATAGATTAGGTTATTATTATTATTATTATTATTATTATTATTATTATTAACAGATGACGAAACGCTACTCGTGATATAACCAGAGGAGAGCTCAATTGATGATTTTATAAGGAGGCAAATGGCATTGTTGAGAGTTGAGACGGACACGTTTTGCATGACTCGTTGATGGAAGAGATGGATTGGTTGGTTCTTCACTTCAGGTCAGGTTATATTGCTGGTCTAAAGTTGCCTCGAATCTCGTGGCAACAGCAGAATCCATCAGAGCCAAAGATGATGATGCTAATGTTTATATGAATAATCACATCTCGTCTTCTTTTCATGGCGATGATGCGATTGGTGGTGAGGTGAGGTCGTTTGGAATGATGCAGGTGCAGATGCAGTGTTTCGGATTTGGTAAGAGCACTAAACACCACCCCTTCTTGCTGCTTCAGATGTCCATTCCTTGATGTTTGATCTGCAGTGGGCCCCATCCTTTTTGATCCTGCCCTTGATGGCTCATGGCTGCGTAACCATCCATAGACGCCCACATGTCAACCTCAGTGCAAGTGCCATGATTCTATTTCTATCCCTCTCACCACGCCTGGATGACTATTGGTTAGTTGGTTACAGAGCCCAGTTGAGGTTAATCCGAGCTCTAGAGTCGTACACAAAGCACGTAACTAGCTTCTCCAATCCAGATAGATTAGAGACCTTGAGAAAGACATTGCTATTATCCATGAAAATGAATTACCTTAGACGACGTTACATGTGTTCTTTAATTAACCACTTCGTGAGGAGATACCCTTAGGCTCATTTTGGAAGGAGTACAAATACAAATATATACAAATATGTACAGTGCAAAGACATACAAAATAATACAAAATACAAGTTTTTGCACTCTAAAAATTTGCATTTGTACTTTTTCCAAGCAGAGCCTTAAGGCCCCGTTCGCCTTTTAGTAAGTTACTCGAGTAAATGCATTTGTCCAAGAAACACTTACCTGGGTAAGTGTATTTACTCGTGTTCTTTTATTTAATAGGTAAATTAGGTAATGACTATTTGTCAGAAAAATTCATTAATAAAAGGGGCATTTTTGTCATATTCAAGTGTAAGCAACTTTCATCTTAGGTGGGAAAGGTATACCCACCAGATAAGTGATACCCAGGAAAATACTTTTCTTGGTTTCTACATTAATCTAAAAAGTGAGCATAGGGTTCTTTGTCAATGGGAATCAAAAGCCTATTTACCAACTTTCCCCCTCTCAAAATCTAAGAAAAGAATGCCCCCCATCTACCTAAGATCATACTTTTCATGGATTTCTCTCCAACAGCTTTATAACTTTGCCAAAAAAAAGCCATTTTAGTTAATTTTGTACTGTAATCAAACAAAATAAGGTTAATTTTGAAATAAAAATAAATCATAATTTGCAATGTCGTGGTTTTGCATCAATGCAAATAAATTTGCACTATAACCAAACAAAGCCTAAAGAATTAAAAAAGGTCATTTTTGTCTTCAAAGATCATAACTATGATGAAAATGTCATTTTAAGTTAAAAATACTATTGCAACTAAAATAATAAAAGCATGCTTATATAGAATTGCTCACTTTGAAAAGGCCATTTTAGACTCTAAAGTTTGAAAAATCATTTTAATAAAGATAATGGACTATATTAAATAATTAAATTAATTAAGGAAATTAAGTTAAATAAACAAAGTTAATTGATCTAACTAAGGCCATGTTTGGGATTGCTTATTGATGAAGGATGATTTGACTCAACCTATGAAATGGTGATACGTAGACACTGACCTGGCATGAGTGACAGTCCAGCATTGAAGCCTAGCTTGACCAAGTGACGGGCCTACAAAGCAGTCCGTTGCGACGCGAGCTCCGAGCTCCCTGTGCTATCTTTGAAGAGATACTCCGAGGCAACTGTAGCTCGCGAGCTAAAGTTATTAGCTCGCCTGAGCTCCCTAGCAAACAAGTCATTCCGAAGACCAATTACACTAAGGGTAATTCTGGAGTGTTTCGAGCTCGCTACAAAATAGTTCGCGAATGAGCCGCACGAGCGCTTTTCAGGAAGCTTCTGATTGACAGACCGTACCGGTCTGACTGCGCCATATCCTTTATTGACGGTGTAGTCACAGTCCTTTCGACAGTCTGCGTCCACGTCTCTCAGCAGGCAAAGGCGTGCATGCCACTTTGGAAACGTGTCACTCACCCGGGTGAGACGTACGCCACAATGGCCACCTGCACAGCCCTGGCAGGTAACGGCTGTGGCAGGAGCCCAGTGGCGGTTATGCCCGACCTAATGTGAGTGTCCCTATAAAAGCCCTCAGGGCAGAAGAGAAATTTCTTGAAATCCCTAATCTCTCAAATATAGTGAGAACACGCTATTTGCACTCTTAGCCTTCGTCTCTTTCTTGCTTCTCCTTCATAGTACTAACTTAAGCATCGGAGTATCTCCGCCGGGTAAACTCCCCAGAGATTCTTCTTCTTTCTCATCTCAGGTACCTTCCATGAGCCACGTGAGCACCAGTTAGGAGTGACTGGATCGTGCTACATCATTTGGCGTCGTCCGTGGGAAATGCTTCGAAAAGCTTTTCTCCAAACTTTCACGTCTCTTTACTCTCCAGAAACTCAACACTCATTGCTTCATCTAGCAACACCGGACGAAGCACGGAGATGGATAACTCTAGGGAGCAACCACAGCTTCCTACTGTATGTATTGGACAGTTCACCGTCCCCCTCTTAGCGGACGGGATCCCCAGTTTGGATGTGCCTCTTGCAGCGGCACCCGTCGTTGCACCACTCCCTACCGCAGTCGGAACAACCTTCGCTGAACCCTCGGTTGTGCCCTCTGCAGCCAGCTCGACCTAGCTGGAAGACTTGGTGCAGTGCATGCGGGCCATGCAGGCTCAAATGCAACAGTTTCAACAGTTCCAGATCTACCAACAGCACGTGTTACACCAGGTCTCTCAGTACCAGTATCAGCAGCAGTTTCCCCAGCTATCGCAACCTCAGTTTCAGCAATCACAACTTCTCCCTCAGCACCTAGTCTCACAGCGAGCTAGGTCTCGTCGACAGGAGGAGCACCCATCTCGCCAAGGAGAGGCCCCCCAGAACCCTCCAAGGAGATAGGCTTCCACTCGCGGTAGACAAGAAAGGCCGGCCACTTCAGTCTTGCCACG